CCACTCTCCCGCTCTGCTGCTTTGGGCGTGCCTGGGTTCCCTCTCCTCACCTGGATCCCTGCAGCTGACTGCTCCTCTGTCCCGGTTCCTGGGCCTTTTAATCCCCTTTCTCCCACTCTCCCACCAGGGCAGTGTTTCGTTCTGCTGTGCATGGGGTCGCTATGAGTCAGAAACGACTCAATGGCACCTAACAACAAACAACAATAACATATGCAAGTTCAAGTTGGAGCTGAAGAAAATTAAAACAAGTTCACAAAAGCCAATATATGGCTTTAATTACATCCCATCTGAAAATAGATTTGATGCACTGAACACCAATAACTGAAGACCAGAAGAGTTGTGGGATGACATCAAGAACATCATATATGAAGAAAACAAAAGGTCATTAAAAGGTCAGGAAAAGAAGACAAGACCAAAATGGATGTCAGAAGAGACTCTGGAACTTGTTCTTGAACAGAGCAGCTAAAGCAAAAGGAAGAAATGATGAAATAAAAGAGTTGAACAGAAGATATCAAAAGGCAGCTCAAAAAAGACAAAGTATTTTAATGAGATGTACAAAGAACTGGAATTAAAAAACCAAAAGGGAAGAACATGCTCGGTATTTCTCAAACTGAAAGAACTGAAGAAAAAAAATTAAGCCTTGAGTTGCGATACTGAAGGATTCTAAGGGCGAAATATTGAAAGATGCAGGAAACATCAAAGGAAGATAGAAGGAATACACGGAGTTACTGTCCTAAAAAGAAATGGTTTATGTTCAACCATTTTAGGAGGTAGCACGTGATCAAGAACCAGTGGTACTGAAGGAAGAAGTCCAAGCTGCACTGAAGGAATTTGCAAAAAAAAGAAAAAACAAGGCTCCAGGAATAGACAGAATACCCATTGAGATGTTTCAACAAATGGATGCAGCACTGGAGGCGTGTCCCTGTTTATGCCAAGAAATTTGTAAGACAGCTACCTGGCTGTTCTGGTTACCTAGTACCGCTCTGACAAGAATATACCAAAAATGGGATGGAAGAAACAGGACCGTATTCTCTTACAGTTCGGGAGGCAAGAAGTCCGAGTTCAAAGTGCCAGGTTCTCAGGGCTATGTGAAAGGCCTCGACCCCGGGCTGTGTGAAAGCCCCTCAACCCTGGGCTGCAGCTCTGCCTCTTGCTCCTGACCCACAGAAGCTAGAGGCATCTCTTCATTCACACAGCTACTGGCTGCTGAGGCTGACAAGCCCAAGGTCGACAAATAAAATGGCACAGTCCCGATGTTACCAAACCACACAGCAGGCCATTAATTCAAATCCACTGTAAGTTCCAAGGTCGGCAGAGCATGGCAGACTGCTGAACAATGACACAGCTCCACACAGGGTCCAAAAGTGCCATATACTAGAGACCATTCCCCATACAGGAAGCAGACTACATTCTCTAATATACTCTAACATACTCAGCTGCTCACCGTAGATTCCACCATGGAGTTGATTATTAGTCTCATCATAGAGAATACTACATCCAGCTGCCCAGGCACTCAACCAGGCCCAGCCAAGTTGACAAACTGAACTATCACACTGGCCAAGTGATGGCACCATTCCAAAGAAAAGCAATCCAACAGAATGAAGATATTATCAAATAATATCATTAATATCACATGCAAGTAAAATTTTGCTGAAGATAATTCAAAATCAGCTACAGCACTATACTGACAGGGAATTGCCAGAAATTCAGGCCAGATTCAGAAGAGGGTGTGGATCTTGGTTGAATGCAAGGAATATCAAAAAGATCTATACCTGTGTTTTACTGATTATGCAAAAGCATTCACCTGTGTGGATCATAACAAATTATGGCTAACGTTGAGAACAATGGGAATTTCAGAACACTTGATTGTGCTCATGAGAAACCTGTACATAGACCAAGAAGCAGTCATTCAAACACAAGGGGATACTGCATGGTTTATAATCAGGAAGGATGTGTGTCACACCTTATTCTTTCACCGTACTTAGTCAATCTGTATGCTGAGCAGATAATCTGAGAAGATGGACTTAGAAGACTGTGGCAACCGGATTGGAAGAAGACTCATTAACAACCTGAAAAATGCAGATGACATAACCTTGCTTGCTGAAAATGAAGATGACTTGAAGCACTTACTGATGAAGATCAAAGACTAAAGCCTTCAACATGGATTACACCTCAACATAAAGAAAACAAAAATCCTTACAACTGGACCAATTAGCAACATCATAATAAATGGAGAAAAGAATGAAGTTGTCAGAGATTTCATTTTACTCGGATCCACAATCAAGGCCCATGGAAGCAGCAGTCAAGAAATCAGATGACATACTGCACCAGGCAAATCTGCTGCAAAAGACTTTTTAACACTTTAAAGTGCTAATGAGCAGAGCTATCACTCTAAAGACTAGAGTGTGCCTGGCCCAAGCCAAGGTATTTTTCAATAGCCTCCTATGCATGTGAAAGCTAGACAATGAATAAGGAAGATGGGAGAAGAACTGATGCATTTGAATTGTGATGCTGGTGAAAAATACTGAAAATACCATGTAATGGCAGAAGACTGAACAAATCAGTCTTGGAAGAAGTACAGCCAGAATGCTCCTTAGAAGCAAGAATGGCTAGACTTCATCTCATGTTGTCAGAAGGTATCAATCCCTGAAAAAGGATATCATGCTTGGTAAAATAGGTGGTCAGCCAAAAAGGAGAAGACCCTCAACAAAATGGATTGACACAGTGTGTGTGACAATGAGCTCAAGCATATCAAATATTGTGAGACTGGTGCAGGACCAAGCAGTGTTTCATTCTGTCTTACATAGGGTCGCTATGAGTTGGGTAGCACCTAACAACAACAATCTTTACAGAAGCAGACTGTCACATCTTTCTCTCACGGAGCAGCTGGTGAGTTCAAACTGCTGACCTTTCAGTTAGCAGCCAAATGCTTTAACCACTGAGAGTTCCCTCAGGCCGACATAATTATAGTAAAGACAGTAATGCAGACAAAAAA